CCCATAGGGAAGCCAGAGCCCAAGGGACCCCACTGATGGAGTTTAAATAGACCATCCTCCTGGGGCACGGAATAGGTTGGAAGGTGGGTGTGGCAGGGCAAACAAATCTTGGAAAACAAAAGTGTTTGGGTAAATTCCTTTTGTTGCTATAACAACTCAGCACAAACGCAGAGGGCTTACAGCCACATTTTTTTTCTCTCTCAATGGTTTTGGAGGTTGGAAGTTCTGAAAGGATCTCGCAGCTAAAATCAAGGTGTCTGTCGCAGGGCTGCATTCCTTTCTGGGGGCCCTAGGGAAGGAGCCATTGCCTTGCCTGTTGTAGCTTTTAGAAGCCACCTGCCTTCCTTGGCTCTGGTCCCTTCTTCCACTTCAAAGCCAGCAGCATCACTCTGACCTCAGGTGCTGCCAGCACATCACCTCTGAGGGCTCTTCTGCCTTTGTCTCCATCCTTTCAGGGCCAGGACCTGAGCGAGCGCTGCTAGTGGACCCACCTAGCCCATCCTGGATAATCTTCTCATTGTTGTTTAATCACACCCATAAACTCTCCTTCACCGCAGAAAGTGGCGTAGTCAGAAACTCTGGGTGTCAGGATGCGGACAACCTTTAAGGTCCAGGGCTTTTATTCTGCCTTCCGCACAGGATGATTGGACCATATTGATCAGAGGCACGGACTCCCTTGGAAAGTAACGAGAGAGAAAACCGGAACTGCAGATGAAATCCACTTTACAGGAGGTTTGGAGGCTAGGCAGTCTGAATTGCATTCTGTAGACAAGAGGGAGCCATTATAAATTCTTAACCAGGGAAGCGGCTTGTTAGGAGGGTTAAGAAAGCTGATCCGATCTTGGTGTCCTGGGTGGCTGAGAAGGGAGAGCGCCCTGCAGAAGAGAAACCTTTACGGATGCAATAAGAGTAGCCAGGCGTGAAGGGCAGGGTGTAAGGTAAGGAAGGGATGCAGTCAGAGATGCTGTGCAAGAAGAACTGGCCGGAGTGCTGGCTGCCTGGGCTTGGCCAGAGCAGGAAGGATCTCAGATGGTTCTGAATTTGGGAAGTGGATTAATGGCCTGATCTGGAAACCAAGAGGACATGTCAGTTTCAAAGGAAGATGAGGCGCTGGGGCTTGGTTATGTAACATTGGGATGGGGCTGCCAACAGCATCTGACCTATTCTGTGATACCATCGATTGTAAAGCACACCCTTATTGTATGTACAGGGAAGAAAAAAAGGCCATCGATCATGATATAATGCTTTCTTTAAAACACACATACACATAGTTTTTAGGAAGCATATTAATGAAAGAGCTGTTTAAGACTTGCATATAGAAAATTGGAAATCTTTTAAAATGGCATCACTTTAAAGGGTACAGTTCGGTGAGTTTTGACCTGTGTGTTCCCCTGTGAAGCTGTCATCACAGTCAAGGGGGTACACATTGCACTCCCCCAAAGTTTGACCCTGCCCCTTGGTAAACGCCCCTCCCCACCCACCTATCTGCCGCTCCCTATGCTGCTGACTTGATTGCTTTCATGCAGATTTGTTAGCATGGTATAGAATTGTCGTCACGTGAAAGAACGTAGCGCACACTCTTTTCGGTCTGAGTCCTTCCATGTGGTTTTGTGTATCACAGTTCGTCCTTTTTATTGCCAAGTCGTGTTCTCCTAATGGCCAGTTCCGGTTGTTTTCAGCATGGGGGTCTTACAAATAAAGCTGTTGTGAATCGTTAGATCTTTTTCTCAAGCATCTATCACACTTGGTGACAAATGAGATGAAAGGGGGAAATGTAGGTGCAATAAATTCTTATTCAAGTTCAGAGTATACCTTTTGGAATCACTTTTTGACTCAAGATTATCAGTGTTTGCGCGTGTCCACACAGTACTGGCTCTGTGCCATCAAAAGTGCTACACACACACACACACACACACACACCATGAAAGTGCTTTTAACTGCAAGATCAACCATGTTAAACCACCAGCTGCTCCACAGGAGAAAGATGAGGTGTCCTCCAGTGAAAACTCACAGTCTGGGGGACCCACGGGGCCAGTTCTACCCTGTCCTACCGGAATTGGAGTCGGAATCCACTTGGTGGCAGCGAACCTGGATTTTTTGAAGCCTGACTCTGATTCTGCTGGCTCAGTGGTTAGGCTTTCGATTGTTGGCGGTGAGACTCATGCAGCAGCTCCCTGGGAGGAAGAGCAGGAAGTGTGCTCCTGTAAAGGTCACAGGGCTGGGAAACCCAATGGGGCAGTTCTGCTCTGGCACACTGGGTCACTATGAGTTGAAAGCTGACTCAGAAGCCAAACTGAAAAACCAAACTCTCCTTGAGTCAATTCTGACTCAATAATGACCCCGTTAAAGGGGTTCTGAGGCCGTCAATGTCTGTGGGAGCCGAGAGCTTCAACTTTCGCCCGTGGAGCGACTGGTGGCTTGAACAGCTGGCCTTGCTGTTAGCAGCCCAAGGTTTACCCAGCAGTGCCACCAGGGCTCAAGGGCACACAGCGACAGACACAGTTTCTTCTGGAGCTGGCTTTGGGGGGCGGGCGTTTCGTACTCATCTGAGTCACCACCTTCTTCACTCCCTCGCCGTTGTGATTGGGTTCTTAGATCCTAAAAGATTCTACCTTTGTGCCCAGGATTTTCTTCCCCATCCTTGATCTTCCAGCTGCTGTTCTAAGCTGGTGCTTTTGATGTGTTTGTCGATGCAAGCGATGTCAAGTCCTCCTTGACTGACTCCTGTTGGGTGGTGTAGTGGGGGCGCAGTGGGCTGCAATCTGCATGGTCGGCAGTTTGAAACCACCAGGAGAAAGACGGGCTTTCTGCTCCCGTTTTAAACAGTTGCAGTCTGGGAAACTCGAAATGGCAGTGCTGCCATATCCTATATGGCTGCTGTAAGTTGGCGTGAACTCGATGGCAGTGAGTATGGGTTTGGTTTTACTTGTAAGACCCCCTGCCTCACCCCCGCCTGATACTATAAAGTAAGATGTAGGAAATCCTGGTCCAACAATTCACTGATAGATCAGGGCCTAGTATATTAAGGTCATTGTCCAGTGTCACACAATCATAGAAGCTGGGACCACAACAAAAATCTAGGATCCAGCGGTTTCTCTGACTTTAGTGGGATGGGGTTTTTTAAAAGAAATCTCTGGAGTATATAAGTGAGAACCCACTGCCAGCTAATCAATTCCATTTCATAATGGCCCCATAGGACAGAGCAGAACGATTCCACGGGGTTTCTGGAGCTGTGAGTCTTTACAGGAGCAGACAGACCGCTTCAGCCTTCTCCAAAGGAGGAGCTGATGAGTTCGAATCGCTGACCTCTCAGTTAGCTGCTGGGGGCTTGACCACAGCCCCACCAGGGTGCGAGCGTATAGGAAAAGATACCTGGATAGCCACAAACACTGTGCGCAGTTGAATTAATCAATGGAAGGAAAAAGCATTCTTCGTTCTTAACATTTCCTTTGGTGGATTAAAAAAAAAATCTGTTTAGATCATTTGTGACCCCCTATTTCTGACAGAATAAAGCCCAGGTTCCTTGGCAAAGTGTATCAGAAACGCCCTTCACAGATGTCCTTTCCTTGTCTTGAATTCTTTCTTTTTTCCTTCCTCCATCGATTCTACCCTCTAGCCTCACCAAACTACTCTTTTGCCACCAGCATATCATGTATTTCCTTATCCTTGTACCTTTTCTTATTCTGCCCCCTTTTCCTGGGGTGACCTGCCTCCCCCCATGTCCATGATACTCCTCCTGTAAGGCTCAAATGCAGCCTCTTTTCCACATTTCCCCCACAAACCTCCCCGCCCAACCAAGGATGATTTCCTCCTGTATTTTTAAACCCACCGCATCTATATAGAATTTAGCTATAACAGGTTTCACATAGCATGATTGCTTTTGTGTGTGTGTGATCTCACTAAGCTGTGATCTCCTTAAGGGAGAGGGGCCCGTCTTGCTCATCTTTGCATTCCCATTTTCCAGAATGGTGCCAGGGTTTTAAACTCCCTCCTCATGAGAAACACAACCAAGTCAGTGCACATTACTCTTTCCTGAATGCGGATCTCTGGTTGGAGGAAGGGATGGAGTGAAAATTGCACTTTGGGTGAACATTTAGGAGTCAAGTGGTGGAGGGAGTGAAGGGGGCTGGAGGGAGAATGGGCCGAGGGAAGAAGGGGAAATGAAGATGAGAAGTGAGAAGAGAAAGGGAAGATGGGAGGGTATGATATGTGGCCAGGATTTTAGACTCTTCTTGGCTTAATTGCGCTGGAGTTACTGGACAATGTGTTCTCACATAGCCTTTCCAAACTCTCTTTCCTGAATAACTCCCATTTTGTATTCTTCGCAACACTCCTCACTGAAAAGACACAAGTATGCTTCTTACAACGGCCTTACAAATAGCTCATTGTCCTCTGCTATTTTTTTATGGAAAGCCAGGGAGCCAAGTAGTATGGTGGGAGGGCACTCACTACACTGGGGGATCAGCGCCTGGCACAGTCTCAGCTCTGGGGCCATTGGCAAGGCACTTAGCCACCTTCGCCTAAGACTTTTCATCTGTGAGACAGAAATGACGTCACCTACACTCTCAGGTTGCTATGCAAATGAAAGTAATATGGGCATACCTCAGCGATACTGTGGGTTCAGTTCCAGACGGCTTCTATAAAATGACTCTCGCAATAAAGTAAGTCACAAATTTGTTTAATTCCCTAGCTCTCTTGGCATGATGGTTATGCTTTGGGCTGCTAGCCACAAGGTCAGCAGTTTGAAACCACCAACTGCTCTGGAGGATAAAGATGAGGCTTTCTACTCCCACAAAGAGTTACAATCTCAGAAACTCAGGGGTGGAGTCTACCCTTTCCTACAGGGTCTCTATGAATCAGAATCGACTCAGTGGCTGTGAGTTTGGGTTTTTTATTTGATCCAAGAAAGAGATACCATGGCGGCTAGCAGAGCCCTGTCTCCTGTTAATAGGGCCTGTTTACAGAAAGGAGCTAACAGAGTGTTTCTTATTCCTAGTCCACTGACGTCTCCAGAAACTGCCCATTTAAATGCCCACAGCCCATGCAGAAGGCAGCACAGAAGCCATGGCACTGCCCTTTCAAAAAGAGCTTGAGAAATACAAGAACATCGATGAGGATGAGCTTCTTGGCAAACTCTCCGAAGAGGAACTCAAACAGCTGGAAAATGTTCTTGATGACCTAGATCCTGAGGTCGGTGACGTGGACTTGGAGCAGGGTGGTGGTTGATAGTACGGGATAAGCTCCGGGCTGGGCCTTAAACAGCTGGGTTCCAGAAACCCAGTGTCTGCACACAGGCGAGTTCTGTGTTCATCCCCCGGTTGGTTCTGGGTCGTTCCCTTTGACAAGTTTGTGGCGCCCTTCAGTAGCCACATCTCTCTCGAACCAATTTCACTAAAGTGGAGCAAATGATTTTCCATCGTCTGAAGACGAGCTGGTTTGACAGGCAACTCTTACCAGGTCTCTTCTGTGAGTCTTCCCCTTTGCTCAGCACCGCAGCCCTGGAGGTAAATTTCTGTCATCCCCATTTTATAACTGAGATACACCGTGAAGGGTAATCTCCATACCACCCCACACTACTAAATGTCAGAGATGGGATTTAAATTTGAATCCCGGTGTACTTCCTGTTTCTTCTGAATGCATGCTGCCGCTGTTGGCTGCCCCTGGGCCGACCTTGGCCAGTCATGGTGGCACTGTGCTCAGCAGGGTCAGACCATTGGGACCCATGGGTTTTCCCCTGGGGAGTTTTCAGCAGTAGATTGCCTGCATTCTGCCACTGAACCATCAGTGCTGTCGTTTTCAAATACATAAAAAACTTTAAATCTTTGGCGATCCTCTAATAGTGGGTAGTTTAGAAAGACTGTAATAATAATTTTAAGTAAATTAGAAGGGGCCTTCTAATGTACTTTATGAGTTCTTGAAAAAAACCAAGTAGGCTTGCTACCTTGCTTAGGTAGCCAGGGCTTTCTCTAGCCCTGATGAGGTGATGCTGAATTAGAAATGGAAGGATTCAATGCAGTGGTTTTACTGCAAATGAAAATGCCACTAAAACGTATTTCTATGATATTCTGATAGAACACACCCCTTCGATTTTTTAATTCAGATTTACTTTAAAAAATACAAGCTTTCTGTTTCTAGCTTTTAAATAGAGGGAAGGACTCTCAAAGCTTAATCAAGCAGGTGAGGATCTCTACCGAAAGGCGCACCCCCCTCCCCCCCAGCTCGGATATTTCCCCAGGAGACCAGACTCAAACTCACTGCCGTCGAGCCTGGTCTGTCTCATGACGACCTTGTAGGACAGGCTAGAACTGCCCTGTGCACTTCCAGAACGGTTAACCCTTCCCCCATCCCCCAAAACTGCTGCTGCAATTACAGGAGTAGAAAGCCTCATCTTTCCCCCGAGGGACAGCTAGTGTCTTCAAACTGCTGACCTTGCGGGTTAGCAGCCCAGTTCAAAACCACTCTTCCACCAGGGTGCCTTTTACCCAGGAGGGGGGTTAGCGTGTCACCATATTGCCAGAGACCCCTGGATGGAACAGCTGTTAAAGCACTGAGCTACAAACCCAAACATTGGTGATTCATAACCACCCAGGGGCCCCACGGAGGAAAGGCCTGGCAATATCTTTCACGAGGTCATAGCCGTTGAAACTCCCTGGGGTTCATGTGTGTGTGTGTGCTGGGCAACACACAGGTTGCCATGAGTCAGGATCAACATCACGGCAACTGGTTACACGTCCCAGGGTCTCCAGATCCCTACCTGGGAGCTCAGCAGTGCCCTCCACACAAGATGTGAGAGCAGGTAGGTTTGCAAGGTCTTCCTGTGTCCCCAGACCTCGCTTCCACAGGTGACCTCAAACAGGTACCTTCTCCCTGCTTCTCCAACATTCGGAGCCTGGAGGGAGAGGAGGCAGGAAAGTTAGACGTGACCTCTGTCTTCTCAGAGCGCACTGCTGCCCGCGGGGCTCCGACAGAAAGACCAGACGCAGAAAGCAGCCACCGGCCCGTTTGACCGCGAGCACCTGCTCATGTACCTGGAGAAGGAGGCTCTGGAACAGAAAGACAGGGAAGACTTCGTGCCCTTCACCGGGGAAAAGAAAGGTAAGGCTCACCGGGGGTAGCATGTCTCGGGGCAAAGGTACTCCTAAATAGGTCTCAGAGAGCGGCGGCGCGGAAGAACTGACTTGGAAATGGAATACCGGACTCGGTATGCCAAAGGACCATAGAAGAACAGATAGGCTTCCTAAGGAATCCTTAGGGTGTGATGATACTCAAATTGGTCCTTGGCTTTCTGTGAAAATCCCAAGGTCTTCCCTTAAGGAATGTTCTAGAAGAGGGTCCCCTAGGCGCTAGCATGCTTCTGCAGCTACGTAGTTCCCCTCCAGGCCTTTTGGCTGGCCCCGTCTGGAAAGGCCCTGGCACCAGACCTCTAACCTTGGACACTGGAGTTAGACATCAGTGCAGGCACCCGTCAGCCACCCACAAGTGACAGAGCACCGTTTTCAGTGCCAAGCCACGCACCACGTGCTAGAATGACACGCAGACAAGGTCTTGCCCGGTACCCTCAGGGGACGCGAGGTTTACTCCAAGAAACACAGACAGAGCAGGGTACGACTGAGGAGCAGGGGGCCACCTCCATCCCGGGACCACGCGCAGACAAGCAACAAGGAACGCTCTCACCCTTAGGTCTTGACCCCAAGTTCCCCTTTGGAGGGAGGCTCCAGACCAGGCGTCCTCAAACTACGGGCCCACGGGCCACAGGCGGCCCGCCGAGGACATTTATCCGGCCCGCCAGGTGTTTTTGCCCCATTTGTTTTTTTACTTCAAAATAAGATCTGTGCAGGGTGCATAGGAATTTGTTCGTGGTTTTTTTTGAAACTGTAGTCCAGCCCACCAATGGGTCTGAGGGACAGTGAACTGGCCCCCTGTTTAAAAAGTTTGAGGACCCCTGCTCCAGACAATGGCGGGAGCAAACAGACACTCATGGGCTTGTTGGAGATCTTTGGCAGCTACAGATCCAGTCAAGCCCCTCTGGTAGCTCCAGACCCTGTGAGATCTAGCCCCACCCAGCTCTCTGACTGTCTCTCCCTCCCTCCTCCGCTAGTCTCAGCCCCGGCGTCTTCCTTCAGTTCCCTGGAAAGGTTGTCTTCCTTCCCTCTCAGGTCCCTGTCACCTGGCCTCTTCCTGCTGGCCCAAGTCCTCATTTCCCCAAGGCTTTGTTCTCATCCGTTAGGCGTCTGCTGGAACGGCATCAGGACTACTTGCCGCTTTTCCTTGGCCTGTCTGTCTGACACAGGCCCCTTCTTTCCATCGCCACACCTACCTGGGGCTGTCTTAGCCCTATGGCAATGCTCACTCTTTTAAAATGGAATTTATTTTAAAATTTTAATTTATTTACTTATTTTTCCTGCGGTTGGTGTGTTTCCCACATTGGGCAGTGACTCCCGCCACACCCCTGGTCCCCCCGTTGGACCGTATATGTCTTGTATCCTGGCAGGGCGGGGACACTCAGTAGTATACATGGGTGTGGGCAGATGCCACCTCTGGGCATCTGTGCTGTGGCCACGGGGAACAGGTGTGTGGCTTCTGTGCTTTCCCAAGTCAGGGTGCTGGTGCCTCCTCCCTCCTCCCCGACATCCCTGTTCATCTCTCCTCGTTCATGCACATTCGACGGATCATTGAGAATGTCATTTTATTCCAAAAGTAAAGATAAATGGTGACAAATTCGCCAAATAACCAAGGATTACCATGGCGATAGGGAACGTGTTTCCATGGCAGCATGGCTATGGGACTGATTTCATTGGGAAAGAAAAAAATAAATCATCATGTCAAATCTCTCCGAAAACTGTGATTAGCATCTAGCATCGGGATAACAACAGAATAATAAGGGGAAGAAAAGCAGTTGTGTCTTGTGCTCAGAGGAGGGGTCCGAAGATCCGGATCCATCTACAGGAGGGCCATGGAGGGCGTCAGGATTCAAGAGCTGTGAGGGTGACACATGGGGTTGATTCGGGGTGAAATCCAGATCCATCTACAGGAGGGCCATGGAGGGAGTCAGGATTCAAGAGCTGGGAGGGTGACACGTGGGGTGGATTGGGGTATACAGTTGCACGGTATGGCTCCGGAGAAGATTGAGAAGCTGCGTGATCGAATACAAAAGAGCAGAGGACTGGCTTTCCCAACAGCAGCGGGAGCCAAGTGAGGAGTCAGCGGTGCCCCTGGAAAGACCAGAGGGAGGGTTGAGGAGCAATGGGAGGTGATCTCGAGTCCTCCAGAGGGGAGACCACATAGCCCACCACGGATGCTCGGTGCCATGAGGCCTAGGTTCCTGGGACCTTGCTCGTCCACTCAGAGCTGGTTCAGGTGGGCCCCAGACAGGAACATCTGCCCATCGTTGCCCTGAATACTGAAAGCTGGTGGGCTCCCTGGCTCTGCACCAGGAAGCAAACCTTAGAAGTCCGATTTTGACTCTAGACCATCATCTGAACCAGGAAAAAATGCTTCCGAGTGCAGATGCAGTGGACATTAAGACTGGCAGGAGAGTCGGTGTCTCAGATTATATATTGGTTGCCTGTTTTGATTTTTTTTTTCTTTTTCCATTTTCTTTCCTCTGGGAGACTCTGTGCTGTGATTTCTAGCATACTTCCTTTCTGTCTGGGAAATGTGGCAGCTGGGTGATGCTGAGCTGGCTGCACAGTGTCCATCAATGGTAAAGATCTGTTGGCCAAGGTGCCCCGGATGGACCACACAGAGTGACCTCCTTCCCATATTTAAGGTCCCCAGCTCCGCCTGCCCCCATTCGCATACCCAGCCCTTTGGACGCTCGGCAAGGTGTCTGGCAATCAGCATCCCCAGTCAGCAGGCAAGTCTGCAGGAAAGATTCGTGAGAGAGTTACTGACTTTGAGCTTGACCCTTTTGTTTCCCATGGGACTGGGATGCTCAGGCTAGCCAAAGAGATCTGGGAAGAGCTTTGGTGCTCCATCTGGTTGAAGCTGGAGCCGGGTGTCTGAGGTGACAATGAGGAGAAGGTTGGTCTTTAGGGCACACCCAAGTTCAAAGATGGAGACCAGTTGTCACATCCAGAAGTAAGAGTAGCACCAAGAGAGAGAAGCCACAAGTCAGAAGGCAGGAGGGACTGGCCGCTGAGGAGGTCTGGGATGCGATGCACGATTCTGGAGTATCCCGGGCCTGCCTTCCTGGGCTGTGGCACAGCTAGAGTGGAGGGTGTGGGCCTACCTGGAAGCAGGTAACGTGCCATCCTTCCGGCATTGCGAGTCATCTGACTAGAAGTTTGGGTCAAGGAAGTAGGGAGGGCATGTTTTCCAAAGTGAGCCGGGGGCCAAACCAATGGATTCTGAGCCAGAGGTGACAGCAGAGCTGTGTGTGCAGGAAGCACGGGACACACCTTGCTGTTCACAAGCCTCCCGTCTCTACAGTAGGCAACCCTGGTTTTGCCTCTGCACATGGGCTTATTGTGGCGTGCTGGGGTGCTGGCTGTGTTCCCGGCACCACTGCAGTCTTAGTGACCTGCGCTCTTTATGTAAAGCATGCTACCGGCCCACAACCCCCATTTACAGGGGAAACTGCAGGGGATCCCCAGTTTGTCCGTCAGGAGCCTTTAGGGCTGCACAAGGGGCCACCCCCAGTGTTTGCAGCGTCCAAGGCAAGAACACAGAGAGAAGCTCACATACCATTTTTTTCTTAAAAATCGAAAAGCCAGCAAACTGCCAGCATGAGTTCTGCCCTACAAACATTCCTTTACAATAACCTGGGGGACCAGGCTCGAATTGAGTGCTCCCGGCCCCTCGCAGACCCACAAAGTAATGCAGGTCTGTGCCATCCTGCCGGGGCCTCGGGCACACACCTGACACCCCAGCTAGATATTGCCGCTTCCTCTGCGGTCCCCCAGCCTGAACGTGCACACCCCAGCAGTGCGATTGCCTTCAGGGGGCCAGATCCAGCTGGGCAGTGAGTGCGCATGCAGACCCTGGAAGCAGGCCCAGGGCCGCTTAGACAGGGGACTCCAGAGTCAGGCTGCTTCTAGGAGGCCGGCACTGTGGGTAGCAATGTCTCTTGGCCCCATGATTCCTCTCTGTGGACTGGAATGGAACCCTGGAAAGTGCAGGCACCCTGGCTTCCCAGGTCAAAGGGCAGTGCTACCAATGGTGAGGAGATAGAAGCCAGGTATTCCTCTTTAGGACTTCCTCCTCCGGAGGCTCTCACAGGGGATTGTTGATGTTGGCAGCACCCCAGCACTGGAGGGCGCCCAGTTGGATACTCAGTGGCCTAAGGGTCCTGACCAGAGCTGCATTCTCTGCTCAGATCACTTAGCCCAGCCGTAAGACAGTTGCACACCCTGTCTTTGTTTCCATCCTTTGATTTAAAGGGAGAGTCTTTATCCCCAAGGAAAAGCCCGTGGAACCTCTCAAAGAAGAAAAAGTGACCCTCGACCCAGAACTGGAAGAAGCTCTGGCCGGCGCCTC